CCGGGGAAACACTGAGAATCTAGAGGCCTTTGCCCCCTTTTCGTCTGAGGACTAATCTTCATGTTTTCCTGTCACTCCTATTGACTGTCACGCTCCATCTCCTTCCTCTGTTGAAGGAGAGAGAAGTAATTGAGGCAGGCGGGGAAGAAGGTGACAGGAAGCAGGAAGAAAAGAAAACCAGCATCTTGTCGTCTTTCTGCTTTATTCTTAGCTTTTTATATGGTATGATCATATTCAGTTCCATACATGACCACTGGAAAAACCATAGCCTTGATCAGACGAACCTTTGTTGGCAAAGTAATGTCTCTGCTTTTTTCATATGCTATCTAGGTTGGTCATAACTTTCCTTCCAAGGAGTAAGCGTCTTTTAATTTCATGGCTGCAGTCACCATCCACAGTGATTTTAGAGCCCCCAAAAATAAAGTCTGACACTGTTTCCACTGTCTCCCCATCTATTTCCCATGAGGTGATGGGACCAGATGCCATGATCTTAGGTTTCTGAATGTTAAGCTTTAAGCCAACTTTTTCACTCTCCTCTTTCACTTTCATTAAGAGGCTTTTTAGTTCCTCTTCACTCTGGATGTGAGAGTTGGACTGTGAAGAAAGCTGAGCGCCGAAAAATTGATGCTTTTGAACTGTGGTGTTGGAGAAGACTCTTGAGAGTCCCTTGGACTGCAAGGAGATCCAACCAGTCCATTCTAAAGGAGATCAGTCCTGGGTGTTCATTGGAAGGACTGATATTGAAGCTGAAACTCCAATACTTCGGCCACCTCATGTGAAGAGTTGACTCATTTGAAAAGACCCTGATGCTGGGAGGGATTGGGGGCAGGAGGAGAAGGGGGCGACAGAGGATGAGATGGCTGGATGGCATCACCAACTCGATGGGCATGAGTTTGAGTAAACTCCGGGAGTTGGTGATGGCCAGGGAGGCCTGGCATGCTGCGATTCATGGGGTCGCAAAGAGTGAGACAACTGAGTGACTGAACTGAACTGAACTGATCATATTCAGTCCAAATAATTATCCTGTGAAATAGCTGTTCATTTTACAGAGGAGAGAATTAGGATTTAGAGAAGTTCATAAGTAGTGGACCTGAGATGAAACTCCAATATCCCTGACTCCAAGACTTGCTCTGTGTGCTGAGCAAGGTCACCTGGAGGAGACCTTGGAAGAGGCCTAGTTCAGCCTCTTCATCTCTTGTCTGAGTAGATTCGTTATGAATACGTTGTTGTTGTTGAGTCACCACGTTGTGTCCAGCTCTTTGCGATCCCACGGACTGTAGCATGACAAGCCTCTCTGTCCCTCACCTTCTCCTGAAGTTTACCCAAGTTCATGTCCATTGATTCAGTGATGCCATCTGGCCATCTCATCCTCTGATGCCCTCTTCTCCTTCTGCCCTCCATCTTTCCCAGCCTCAGGGGCTGATATATATGTTACTGTTCATCAAAAACACATCTATCAATGACTGTGATAAACACGTTATCTAATCTGATGTTCAGGTTATAAGACACAGAGAGGTTAAGTAACTTGTTTAAGTCATTACAGAGTAAATGGTATACAGTCTGGATGTCAACTTGAGGTAATCTGACTCCAGAGTCTGTTTTTATACTGTACAGTATGTGCACTATGCCTCGATGTTTTCCTCCTACATGAAGGAATTGAAATTGACAGAGGTTAAGTGATGTTCCCCGGAGAAGGCAATGGCACCCCACTCCAGTACTCTTGCCTGGAAAATCCCATGGATGGAGGAGCCTGGTGGGCTGCAGTCCATGGGGTCGCTAAGAGTCGGACACGACTGAGCGACTTCACTTTCACTTTTCACTTTCATTCATTGGAGAAGGAAATGGCAACCCACTCCAGTGTTCTTGCCTGGAGAATCCGAGAGATGGGGGAACCTGGTGGGCTGCCGTGTATGGGGTTGCACAGAGTCGGACACGACTGAAGTGACTTAGCAGCAGCAAGTGACGTTCCCAAGGCCGTCAGCTCTTTGGTGGCAGAACAGAGTCCAGTCTCTGGGTTTTCCGAGGGCAGGTTGTTAACTCCTTCTTCTGTTGTGTGGTGGGTATCATCTGACCAGAAATGGAATAAAATAGAAACCAAATTGAATTGGAGCTGAAGTACTTTGCTGCACCTGATCCTGCCCCCTCAGAGTTCAGCCATGCACATTACATTCTCATGAATTGCTAGGGAGTGTGTTCCTCTGTGGGGAATTAGATGTAGAAGTGTTTTTATGAGCCATAGCTATTAAAAATGCACACATCCACACATTATTTCCTTTTTATATTCATGAACACTGACTATAATAAAAAAAGGCTTTTTTGATAGTTCACTTTACAAATTGCTTTAAATTCTAGTTAAATTTATTCATTGCATGAGATTATTTTTTAAAATTTCTGTATTGTCAAGACCAACATGTCAAAATGTGGTGAAAATAGTTCTTTTCTCAGAAACACTGGAAACACCTCTGAGTTTAAGCAAGTTTCCAGTGTAATGTGTATAATAAATCATCTGTCTCTGTTTTAAAATTGTCAGCAACAGAATGGAAACTGTAGCACTTAGCAAAGGATCAAGTACTGAAATAAAAATAATCTTAACTTTTTAACAATCACATGACTTTCCATAAATCAAAGCTGTTTTCGGGAAGAGATTAGTTGTTATCTTTATTGGATGAGCAATCATGGCTGTTGGCCTTTGATAAGTGGGACCTAGGGTGTGATTTGGGCGTCTTCTTAGATTCCTTTAGTGTTTCCTGGGTGCCTGGAGAGCATGTGGGGAATGGTGTGTAGCATGATGGGGGAAGAGAAATACAGATGACACTGGAAACCTTGCTCTTGCCCTCACAGAGGTTAATCGCTACGTGAAATCAAATTTGTTGTTGTTGTTATTTAGTTACTGAGTCACGTTTAACTCTTTTACAACCCTATGGACTGTAGCCTGCTGGGCTCCTCTGTCCGTGGCATTTTCCTGGCAAGAACACTGGAGTCGGTAGCTATTTCCTCCTCCAGAGGATCTTCCAGACCCAGAGATCAAACCCGCATCTCCCACATTGGCAGGCAGATTCTTTACTGCTAAGCCACCTGGGAAGCCCATCAAGTCAAATAGAGTATTCTTAATCTCATATTCCTCCTTTTTTCACTGTGTTCTCTCTTACCCCCAGGCTGTGCTCTTTAGTTTGATCCTGCAGTAGTGGTGAGAAATAGTCAGTCATCCATACTTGAGAGAGAACGATGCAGTGACACTTGGCCTGTCACCTCTGCCCGGAGCATGGCTTGTCCTGCCATGAGGAGCCTTCCAGCCCCTGCTCTTTGATGTCACACACGCTAAAATAAGGCACACGCACACAAAAAGATAAATGACAAAGACATAAAAAGCCCAGTGTCAATGCACAGGAGGTAAAAACAAGTGCAGGTCTGAGAAAATCCCAGCCGCATGCATGCCTTTTCCCTTTGCCAAGGATGCAGTAGTAGTAGCTGGGCAGGTAACCATACTCCAAAGACTTGTGCCAGAGTGACTATGGATTTGTGCATATCATTTAACCCCCTGAAACTCAGTATCTTCAGGGCTAAGAGATCAAGACTGATACTATTTAGTGGGCACTGGGGAACCTTTTTCTCTCTTCTCTGCATAAATGCAGTCTGGTTCTACTGGCTTTGTTTATCATTCTGCTTGCTGCTCCCCTAGGAAGAATGAACTGGAAACAATGATTATGTGTGCAAAGGCTGTAAATAACAAGATGGTACCCTTCGGCCATGCAGTAAGAGTTTATGTAAATGGGGTCCTCTTGAAACACTCACCTGCCAGACTTCAGACCTAAACATCTTGGGCAAAAGTAGGTGTACTGAGGTATTTAGAATGTGTCTGCACACTGTGTGAGGAGCTAGTCTTTTTACTTGTCAACTCTTGCTTTTTTATGCCATCTCCACCCCACCCTCATTATTACATAGTGCTGTGCTAAAGGATTCTTGTGTTTTCCCAGTTGAATCCTACCCTTTAAAAGAGAAGGATGTACTATTGTTCATGTCATTCTGAAGAGAATATTACTAGCTCTAAAGCCACATAAAAAAGTATTTCAAGTAATCATCTTAATGAGAGTCTTCTGGGATGGCTTTTTAGTTGGGATAGCACTTAAAGTTCTGTAAATCAATTTTAAAAGACCAATTTCTTTATAATAATTACATTATATGTATACATTATATGATTATTGATATTATATATGTGTGTATGTATATATGTATATTTATAATCCTTTGTTCTTATGCTAAGGGGCAATAATGGGTTGATTCTCAGAGATACATCTATGGGTCAGTGTGGCCACAAAGGTTTAGTTACTCATGTCTCCACGCATTCATTACTTCTAGAGAAAAAGTAATTTGAGGCTCTTGTGTACATTTACACTGGACAATGAATATGCAGTAGAATATTTTTTGGAATTGATGTCTTAGAGACTGCAGGATAGAAGGCAGATCATTTTCTTCTATTCTCTTTGCTCTCCTTTCCCCTTAAAAAGCTTTCCTCTGTAGAAAATAGCTATTGTGCATAAAATGTAGCTAGTTATAAGTACCTGCTATGCGCAAAGTGAAATTCAGTTAAAACAAACACTGAAAGTACCCACAGAGAGAACAACTCCAGAAGTACTAAATCACTTCTAGACACTTGGTGGGATTGTAATAGTGTGATTTTATGTATGGAAGCGTCAATGAATATTTTTTTAAAGAGTATTGGAGTCACCCTTTGCCTTCTGTAGTCACCTGCTAGTCATTACAGTCATTATGGTATTTAGGAGCAGTTCAACCCTTGGAATAGGCAGGAATGGCTAAATCATATGTGTGTGAAGTAGAAGGTGGTATCCATATTGGTAAAAATCAATATTCTTTACATTTGTTTGATGTGTTTGGGACAGCCCTCGAAATAGCATGCTCATGTGCTTTAGTTCCGCTGGTGACGTCACACGTGAAAGAAAGAAGGCATGTTTCTATTAACACCTCTGTTTTCTCTCTATTAGGGCGTGTTGGAGAGCTTCCTGGGCACCGCTGTCTCCGGAGCCATCTTTTGCCTCTTTGCTGGTCAACCACTCACTATTTTGAGCAGCACGGGACCTGTTCTCGTTTTTGAGAGGCTTCTATTTAATTTCAGCAAGTATGTATATAGATATCAAATTATAAATTAGAGTTGTTGAGTTGTAGAACATTCACAGTCTAGACAGAGCACAGAATAGTGAATTGAAAGTTCCTCAGTCGTATCCGACTCTCTGCAACCCCATGAACTGTAGACCACCAGGCTTCTCTGTTCGTGGGATTCCCCAGGCGAGGATACTGGAGTGGGTTGCCACGTCGTTCTCCAGAGCATCTGTGTGACCCAGGGATCAAACCCAGGTCTTCTGCATTGCCCATGGATTCTTTACTGTCTGGCCACTGGGGAAGCCCACACAATAGTAGTTAAGTGGAATTTGGAACTTGTAGCATCTGGAGATTGAGAGGCCCTCAGAGATTAAGTCACCCAGCAGGTGCTGACATGTGATGCAGTGGCGATCCCTCTGTCGCATAACCTCTCCTCCGCCCCCATTTTACTCTGCCTCATTGTCCTGCTTTGCACCCCAGTGGACCCCAGCACGCAGGCTCCTCGGCCCTCTGGCTTCCTGTTGGGTTTGGCGAGAGCGGAGCCTCAGGAGCTCGGGAAGGCAGAGAGGTCAGGGGGTGTCTGCTGCCCCCGCCCCGCTCAGCCACGGCTCTCCCAGGCAGCCTGGCAGTGGCTTGTTCCATCCCGTGGCTCCTCCACCCTGCCTCCGCCCTCACCAGCCTCTCGTGACTGTTCTTTCCTTGGCCTTTCTAAGCTGGGGGCACGGGGGCGGGCAGAAGTGGCTTCCTGACATCTCTAGTCACCGAGAACCTTGCCATTTCTGTTACTCATTCCTCTGTAAATAGTTCACATCGTGAAAGTTTTTCCTCAGAATCTCATCTGAGGTTGTCTTCTATTTCCTGCTATGATCCTGACTGACACTAGAGAAGTGAAGTGACTTGTTCAAGGTGACATAGCTTGTCTATGAAAGAGGCCGGGTCTCCCGTGGTCCACTGCTTCTAAACCCCATTCCTGTGTTCTTAACTAATGATAGAGTTCCAGAATCAACTGAGTAACAGCTAACATTTATTGAGTGCTTGGCCGTGTTCCAAGTATTGTCCTCAATGCATTACACGTACTGCCTCATTTATTTCTTGTAGCAGTCCTGTCAAGTAGGGACTGTATCCTGTTTTATCGATGAGAAAGCAGGCACAGAGTGGGTAATAAATTGCTGAAGGTTGCATCAGCCAGTTATTGGCAGGGCGGGGGTTTGAATCCCTGCTTTGTGACTGCAGCGCCTAAGCCTCTTGTGGAATCACTGGATATTACTAATGGGCTTGGCAGTTGTGGTACCAGTATTTTCTTTTAGAAATTGATGGATCATTTTAAGATGTGGAAAATTGAATTAACCAAATTATCTAAATAGCCGCATTAGTGCACAAATGGCTTCAAAATCAAATTGGGAATTCCAGCTTCTTTCTAATGAACCTGATACCTCTGAGAGAGAACTGCCTTTACCGGTAGATCTCAGTCCACAGATAGATTGCAGAACTTCATATGGCTTGCTAGCATTCCTTGTTGGAATTTCCATATACTTCTACCATTAGACAGTTTTAGGATTTTAATGTTAGAAATGTCATTACCCACTTAATGCCTCATAGACTTAAGGACTCAAATAGTAGGCTTTGCAATTGTGTGGGGACTTCCCTGGTGTTCCAGTGGCTAAGAATCTGCCTGCCAATGCAGGGCACACGAGTTGAATCCATAGTCCAGGAAGACCCCACATGCCTTGGAGCGACTAAGCCCATGAACCACAACTAATTCCATGTGCCGAGAGCCGGGGCTCCACAACTAGAGAAGGCCCTTGCACTGCAGCAAAGACACAGTGCAGTCATAAATAACTAATAAATGGATAAATAAAACCTTAAAAAATGAACTTAGAGGGATAACAATTATTAAAAGCAAAAAAAAAGAAACCAGGTATGTTGTCAAAAGTGATCACGAGAGAGGAGGGAATGAGAATTTGAAACTAGCGTTTTGAAAATTGGGTTGAGGGGAAAAATTGAAGGTCTTCCAAGCATTTAAAGCTTCAAATTTTAAGTAGCGTTATGTTCTCTGTAGATCATTAGCACAAATTCCTCCATTACAATTCTCAGGAGACCACTGGAAAAAATTCTGCTCCTGTCAGTTTATAGAAAGAGTCAAACAGTTTTTATATGTTTAAGAAAACATCGTGTGAGACAAGAAAGCCTTTGTGGGAAGATTAAACAAGCATGTACTATAAACAGGGACAAATGTGCAACCTTTGCAGTGCAACCTTTGTGGAAAGATTTATTGTATACAATGTGATCAGAGCCTTAATCTACAGAAAATGTTTGCACCCTGGTTTGATTTAGATAATTGTAGGATTGAGATTATTTCCTTTTGCTAAACAAGTTCCTTTCTCATTTTCCCTTCTGTTTCATCAAAATTGGAAACTTAAACATAGTTTCAAGTGATTTATTTGAAAATAGTTGTAAAGCAACAAAAAACATTTGAGACACTGTGCTTTAAATCCATCACCTAGTAACATATGACACTTATGTGGCAAACCTTATTCTTTTATTCACAATACTATATCATTTCCTTATATATGGTAATAGCAGTGCTGATATGTCTAGATACAGAGTATTTGTATAGACCACTGTTTCCCAAAGTGTGTTTCATCATTTACTAGTTCCATTAGATTCTCAATGATAAAAGAAAAATCTGTGACTCCAATAATTCTAGGAAGTGCTGTACATTATTTATTATATCCTCCTATTGATAATTCACTTTACCCTTCAGTTTACTAAGGTATCTGGTAAGTCCTTCAGTAAAGAAAGTGTTTTACTATCTTTTGCCCAGGTTTTCCCCATCATATTTTACCTTCTTTATTTTTTTGAGAAATAGATAAATCCTTGTTTTGTGAGTTTAGTGGACTCGAACAGTAACTCCAAATAATCCACAGATTTATCTCTGACTTGGAATACAGGATTTAATATTTGCCTTATCAACTGGAGAACCATAAAAAGGCATATGAATGATATGCTGTCACTTTTTAAAATTAGTAACAAAATGAAAGAATAGCTCACAACTTTCCAAAACACGCATAGTTTTGTTTCTCCAGTTCTGCAGTCTCTTTTGAACCATTTTTCCACACTGTATTTCAATAATGGGCTTCCCTCCTGGCTCAGTGGTAAAGAACCTGCCTGCCAATGCAGGAGGCATGGGTTTGATCCTTAAGTCAGGAAGATTCCCTGGAGAAGGAAAAGGCAACCCACTCCAGTATTCTTGCCAGGGAAATCCCATGGACAGAGCAGCCTGGTGGGCTACCGTCCATTGAGTTGGAAGAGAGTTGGGCATGATTTAGCAAATACACAACAATCCCAATGATAGAGAATTGGATTCCTTTTCCTTGTCTTCGGGAGAAATCTGAAGGGAGTTTAAGCAGTGTGGCCTAAGTTGTATAGAAACTTCATGATTAAAGTTGGATTTTATCCTGTTTGGCATTTAGTTATTTATTAATTTATTTCTTATATTATTTGAGCAGTTTACTTGTAGCCCTTCAAACTATTATCGTCTTCTATTAAGTACCTGGGTTTGTTCATTGAGTTTCGGGAGTTTATATTTGTCAGTGACTGATTTCTGAAACATGCTTCGAAGGTTAGTTCTTCGGTTTTCTTGTACCCTTGGGTTTATGCTGCTCAAAACTATCTTGTAAATCTCTGGAAACATTGAATGTTACCAAAAAAATGTACACTGATTTTGTCCTTCTAACTCACCATAGTTTTTTTAGTCTCTACTGTCATTTCCTTTCTATAGCTTATAACTTTTTATAATTTAATTGCTATTTAAACTTGGCACCAAAGGGCCTGATAGTCTTATTGGACATTAACATTGCCTTTTATTGTAGTTATTATTGTTGATTGTCTTGTTTAAAGTTTCTCATCTTTTATTCCTCTTTCTTCTTTCTGCTGTAAACATATCACTTTCCTAATGGAGTGATTGGTATTAGTGAATTTATTTGGGTTATTCTTACAGAGACACTGGGAGTATTTAAGTATTTTAGAGGAGCTGTTTTGGGCATCCTGTTTAGGTCCTAAGATTCAAGTTTGTACATTTTTCCCTTTTGTACTCAAACTGATAGTGTTCCTGATTATTTCTTATCCCATCCTGTAAACATCAGTTCTGTAAACAAACATTAGCATTCTTAGAACACATTAAGATTGTTCTAACTTTAATCTTATTAGGAAAGCAAAACTAGGTAATTGTTTAAAACTTTATTTTAAGGCAAATGTCTGTTGACTCAGAAGTAATAAAACTGTTTCTAGGTTCTGACTCATTGTGTGATAATGTAAATTATAGTGTAAATTCCTAGAATTTAGCTTTTTCTAGAGTCTACCTATCTCAGAAAGACATGATAGGATTAAATACTGAGGTTCCAGACATGAAGGGAACTGTGAAAGGAATGCCAAAGATGTCTTTAGAAAGATTTTGGGAAATATTTAGAAGATAACTTTCTACCCAAGTGTTACTAATCTCCTGCTTTGGTAATGTATTCCAATGTGTGTGATTTGATAAGAAGAAATAAAGGACAGTGACTTTAAGGCCCACTCTACCACGTGCTGGGGCTTCCCTGGTAGCTCAGATGATAAAGAATCCTCCTGCAATGCAGGAGACCCAAAGTTAATTCCTGGGTCTGGGAGATCCCCTGGAGCAGGAAATGGCAACTCACTCCAGTATTCTTACCTGGAGAATTCCATGGACAGAGGGGGCTGATGGGCTATAGTCCATGGGGATGCAGAGTCAGACACGATGAGCAACTAACGCACACATACCACACACTGAATATAAATTGAACAGGAAGAACCATGCTGTAATTTTTAAAGGACCTGTCCAGTAGCACAGAGAATTGGTTTCTGGTCCAGCTGTGCCATTAAAGCCTTGGCATTGGATAAATGGCTTAGTTTCCATTGGCCTTGGTATCTTCATCCATAAAGTGAGGCACATATGACCACTTGGTGATTAATCAGGATTCTCCAGAGAAACAGAACCAATACAATGTGTATATTCATCTATAAGAGATTTATCCTAATTGGCTCACACAGTTCTAGAGGCTGGCAAGTACAAAACCTGCAAGGTGGCCTAGCAACCTGAAGACCCAGGAGAACTTATGTTCCAGTTCCAAGGCCTTCTGCTGGAGAACTAGGCAGAGCCTATGTTATCGATCAAATCCAAAGGCAGCCTGTCTGCTGGAGAGTCTTCTCTTGCTTGAGGGAAGCTGACCTTTTTGTTCTTTTCAGTTGAAGAATTGACTGGATGCAGCACACTCTCATTATGGAAGGCAATCTGCTTTACTCAGGTCTACCAATTTAAATGTTAACCTTACCCAAACCTTCCTTAAACACCCAGAATAATGTATTACCCAGTACCTGAGTACCTCTTGGCCTAGTCCAGTTGACATACGAAATCAAGCAGCTTTTAATTCTAATATTCACTAAAAGTTTTGGTGTCATCACTTGGTTACCTGTGATAGCTCATAATCCAGTGTCAGTAACTTTCTGTCAAGTTGTAGCCTGCAGGTATGGCTTTATTGGAAACTTTTTATGTACCAGACATTGTGTTAGGAAGAGAATTTGAATTTTTATTCTAAGAGCAGTGCAAAGCCACCAAAAGACTTTAAACTAGGACATTTGATTTACATTTGAAAAGGTTATTTTGGCTGTGATGTGGAAAACAGCTTTGAGCAGGGGAAGCATGGATATTGGTAAGGAGGTTCTTACAAGAATCAGGGAAAGGCTTCTTGGTGGCCTAGAGTAGGCTGTTGGTAGTGGACATGTTGACACAATGTCTTTGGGGAAGCATTAAAATATGTGGCTGTCAGTTATCAGAAACTCATTGTATAAAAGGAAAGCTATAGAGCTTTAAGCATGCATGATCCTTGATTTATTTTTTCTCATACAAGAAATATGATTACCAATATCTGTTCTTTTCATTGCAAATGATGATAAAAAAAACTATTTTAATGCACTGTCCACATAATTGTAAAATAATCAGTGTGAAATGGTAAAATGTCAACATTTGACCCATGTTTTCCTAAATATGAATCTTGAACTAATTCACTTGTAAGAAGTGAAAAGGATATAGAAAAATGGCCTTCTTAAATGGAGGCATCCTATTCTTTTTCAAAATATGTAATGATTTGTTTATTTTTACTTTTTAATTGGAGGACAGTTGCTTTACAGTGTTGTGTTGGTTTCTGCTGTACAACAGAGGGAATCATCATAATTATATATTTTATATATATCTCCTCTCCCTCTTGAGCTCCCTCCCTGCTCCCATCCCATTCCTCTAGGTCATCACAGAGACCCAGGCTGGGTTCCCTGTGTATATAGCAGCTTCCAACTAGTTATCTATTTTATACCTGATCGTGTATATATGTCAATATTACTTTCTCAATTTGTCCTACCCTCTTCTTCCCCAGCTGTGTCCTAAGTCCATTCTCTACTTCTGCATCTCCATTCCTTCCCTGCAAATAGGTTCATTAGTACTATTTTTCTCGATTCCCCATGTAGCCATTAATATGTGATATTTATTTTTCTCTTTCTGATTTACTTTACTCTGTATAACAAGGTCTAGGTTTGTCTACCTCTCTACAGCTGACTCATATTCATCTGATCCCATTTCCCTGTATTGGTGACACTCAGTTCACAAGGGGCGTTGCATGCAGTTCACGCAAAATCTCCTTGAGTACTTTTTTGTCTTCCTGACCTGACCCTCCCTGCTCCATCTCAAAAGTTCCTGCTTATCCTTAAATACTTTTAGTTTTTTCTGCAACATTATCTATCCCCACCACCCTGAGCCCAGATTAGTTCCACTTCTGTGACTGTGGGAACTTTAGGTATCACTTAGTATTTTGCAGTGTGTTTATGTTTATCAGTTTGTCTTTCTCAGTAGACTTTGATGATTTGGGGAAGAGAAAATACTTTCTTAGTGTCTTCCTTAACCAGAAAGCTCACAAAGCATTTATTGAACATGTGCTGGGTACCAGTTTTATGTTTTTAAACTGTTTATTTTGTAAATTCTACATAGGGATCATCTTTTTTGAATGAGAAGATTGAGTGAGGGGCTAGAGAAAGATATTTCATGCAGACAGAAATGACCAGAAAGCGGGGGTCACAGTATTCATATCGGACAAAATAGACTTTAAAACAAAGACTATAAAGAATGATAAAGGACACTCTCTAATGATAAAAGAATCAATACAAGAAGAAAATTAATGAGTCATTTACATTCAAATGGTACGACTACTTCTGTTGTGCTTTTCTCAAACACCTGAAATTATTTCTTAGGCTAATATCACTAGGCCAAATCCTAAAGATAATACTTTCTGGATAAAATTAAGAATGATATTTATATCTAATAGCTATAAGTGATCTTATATTTTTACCAATCACTCTACAGTCATTTGGTAGTTTTGTATTGCAGTTTGTGTTCCATGGAGGAGGAGTCTAAATACCTTTTTTTTTTCTTCTTTCCAGGGACCATAATTTTGACTATTTGGAGTTTCGCCTTTGGATTGGCCTCTGGTCGGCCTTTCTGTGTCTCATTTTAGTAGCTACTGATGCCAGCTTCCTGGTTCAGTACTTCACTCGCTTCACTGAAGAGGGCTTTTCTTCTCTGATTAGCTTCATTTTTATCTACGATGCTTTCAAGAAGATGATCAAGCTAGCTGATTACTACCCCATCAACTCCAACTTCAAAGTGGGCTACAATACCCAATTTTCCTGTGTTTGTATGCCGCCCGAACCAGGTCAGAACATCCCGCTTAGTGTTTATGCTTACCTTGTGTTTGGAGGAAGCTGGAGGCTCCATGCATGCAAACTTTCAACCTGGTATTATGGTCCTCAAAAAAAGGTTTTATTTTATTTTCTCTGAGAAACCATGCAGCTGAATGTATAGTCTCTTTGCCTGAGGTGTCTTAGCCATGTGATTCAACCAGGAGGTGTAATTAGGAGCTCTGGAATGTGAACATACATTCACATTAGCTCAATACTTTAACTAACTCAAGCAACAGAATTTGCAAGGAAATTTTGTGTACCTTATTCTTGATCTTCTCTGATAGGTGAGAAATAATTTTGTGTACCTTATTCTTGACATTCTCTGTATCTCTATAACAGATATAAGAACCAGACAAACCTAGTCCTCTGAACTTCTGTTCCTTATTTCACAATTCCTTATTTCTTTTTTTTTCTCCTTATTTCTATAGGAATCTCCTTCTTAAGCAAATTCTAAGTAGGTTATTTTAAACTTACAGAATAAACAAATATTAATTCACTTTATATAATTTGAAACAAGAAATTAAAATGAAATTCAGACTAGAATCACCTAGTGATAAAATAGAGGTTTATAATTCATCTGTGCTAGACAATGTAAATAAGAAAGGAAAGGGAAAGAAGGAACAAAAGAAAGAAAAGGAGAATATTATGGTCTTGGAGAAGATTTATATTCTAGAGCTAGGAAAGCTATAAAAGTAACTTCTTAGCAAAGAATATGAATCGATAAAACCTAGCACTTTAATATCCATCTTGCTAAACCTGAGTCAGCATAAGAACTTTATCACAAAAAAAGTGCTCAATTTGGTCTTTGGAATTTTTTTCTTGAAATTATTTTTTTTGGAATTTTTTCTTTGGAATTATAAAATTCATCATATTTTATAATATGGAAGGTATTTGGGAAAAAAGATTCACTTCTGGGAAAGTTGCTTTAACATCTGCTTTAATCAAATGAGGCTTCCCTGGTGGCTCAGATGGTCAAGGATCTGCCGGCGATGTGGGAGACCCGGGTTCGGTCCCTGGGTTGGGAAGATCCCCTGGAGGAGGGCACGGCAACCCGCTCCAGTATTCTGGCCTGGAGAGTCCCCAAGGACAGAGGAGCCTGGCAGGCTACAGTCTATGGTGTCCAAAGATTGAGACACGACTGAGTGACCAAGCACAGCACAGTAGAATGAGGAGTAAATATTTGTGCCAGTCAATTAATGCTAACAGTCCTCGTGATCCTTGGTTGTGACGTTAGCTACATTAGCTTAAAATAAAAATTAGTGCACAATCCATGCTTTTGTGACTAAGATCCTGTAGCACCAGAAGCCCAGCAGTGTTTTGAGGGTTGTGTACACCTGGGCTTAATTCGGGCAAGTCAAAGTCAAAGTGTTAGTTGCACAGTTGTGTCTGACTCCTTGCCACCCCGTGGACTGTAGCCCACCAGGCTCCTCTGTCCATGGAATTCTCCTCTGTCCATGGAATTCTCCAGGCCAGAATACTGGAGTGGGTTGCCATTCCCTTCTCCAGGGGATCTTCCCGATCCATGGATCAAACCCAGGTCTTCTGCATTGAGGGAAGATTCTTAACCACTAAGCCATCAGGGAAGCCCATTAAAAGTTGGACACATTCATGTAATAGCCACTTTCATCTATAGATTCTAAGGAAAAACCACTTACTCGTCACAGTAAAACAGACATGGTTATATTATAGACTAGAATGAATAATGCTTATGAATTGAAAAACGCAACAAGATCTTATAAAGAGTTTCAGAGCCTGTGCAGGCTGTGTCCTATGACTCTCAGATATTTTGGTGATGTATCTGTGTTGTTCTCTACCATTTTGGTGGAGAAGTCTTACAAGACCTATGTGCTTCTTGAGAGATGAAAAAGAGCAGCATCTCTCTACAAATGGGTCGGTCAGTGACACTGGTGAGAAGATGGGGCCTTGTTGGGCTTTGCACTCATGGTTTCTTTTTCTCTTTTTAAGGGAAAAGTCAGTTCACATTAAAATAAAACCCGATGCTTGAAAGCAAGGAGAAACAAGTGAAAAGTGGAAATTTAAAGATTTGGGCAACATGAGTACCATAGATATAAAGGCCTGTTACCATTAAGATGTACACTGTTTAGAAGTACTTCAGAACTTTAAAAGTGCTTGGAAAGAGTAAACAATACATGATAGATATGATTAGAATAAATTAAATATGCTTCCCAGAGTAACCCAGAAAGCATGTATTACCACTACACAAGTCTTAGAGCTCTTCCTAGGAGAGGAGGTGATAAGACCTCTTTTAGTCATGCATCCTAGACTTTGAGAGGAAGCCTAAACTACACATGTGCAAAATCCTGGATCGTAGACATATTTAATAGTGGGATTTTGGACTTTTATTTTTACTCATTTCTATGCATTTATATGTCTCTTTATTTACTTGTGGAAAAGTCTGTATGCTGACTTTTTAGGCATTCTGAGTAATTGTATGTTAAGAATTTCTAGAGGAAAGAAAATACTACCAGCTGTTTTGAGGCTTGAAGTGTTCATAAAGCCAGATGAGGGCTTTGTTAGCACACCTGCCACAAAGATCTCCCTAGTGTCAGCCCCACACCGACCTGAGGCTAACGGAAAAACTTGCATGTATTGTTTTAATTGGATGCTGGTGGAGTAGGTCATTTGGAACCAGGAAGACATACCTGAATTCATTTTCACTGCAAAAAATACAACAAAGAATTTCCATGTAATTTTCCTTTCAGGAAGGGTCTCTGTTTTCTTGAGACACTGGTATTGAGGCTTGAACTGATTTTACCCATGTATAGCAACTGCTGACTGAAGTGGTGATAATCCTGCCTTTGACATGTTTCCCCTTGGTTGTGTAACAAGCCTGTCTTAAATAGCCAGCTTTTGTTTTGTAAGGATTTTGGCAACTCCCACTGCCTCTATAGGGTACCAGTAAAGCAGGGTAGCAGGACTTTGAAGTCAGAAAATCTTATGTTCAAGTCCTGCTTGGCTAAGGCCCCGTGTATAACTTTGGACAAGTTCCTTTCTCCAAGGTAGCTTTGCCTCACCTCCTTCATGTGTAAAATGGGGTTAATAATACCGCTACCTTATGGAATTGTTTTGAAGGGAAAAAAATGAGGCATTACAAAATATTTAGGACAGTTTCTAATAAGTAATTAAATGTTAGCCATTTAACAACCATTATAATTGTGTTGCTATTAAAATTTAGGGTTTGTAAGTATGAGCAATAGGACAAACAAACCAGTCTTCATCATCTTCCCTTCTAAGCAAATGTTGTTGCACAGTTGGCTCATCCTGCAACAAGACTGTTGCTTACACCCCTTAGTTTTAGAATCATTCAGATAAGTGGCGCTCATGGAAGATATGTACATAAATGTGAGGGAGTATGGGCTTCCTCTGTTGCTCAAACAGTCAAGAATCTGCCTGCTAATGCAGGAGACCAGGGTTTAATCCCTGGGTCAGGATGATCCCCTGGACAAGGGCATAGCAATCCACTCTGGAATTCTTTCCTAGAGAATCCCATGGACAGAGGAGTATGGCGGGCTGTAGTTCGTGGGATTGCAAGGATTTGGACACAACTGAGTAACACACACACACGGAGATGAAATCTGTTTCTGGTGTGGACAAAGGCACATGCATTGCCAGGACAATCTCATGTTTTACAAAACTTTTGAGATTAGTGATTGTGTTATTTCTCTCACAACCTTAATACTTTTTGATAGAAGACTGCATAGACCCACAATATATTTAGTACTTCGACAACAAACTGAAAACCAATAGTGAGGGAATAATACAGTTGCATGTACAGCTAGAGTAAGTGTTCTAAAAACAACAGGAGACTGGCCTTTCATCGCAACATGCACTCCTAGTAAAAGAATTCAATCAATGAGTCAATAATATTTAAACTGGCGGATGACTTGTTTTTCAACACTGGTACAGTCTGTAACAATGAACCAGCAACTGCGCAGGTGGAGTCATGACCCTGCAAACCGAGAAATGATTTTACAGGAAAGGAAATCGGGGTCATTTAATCACTAAGAAAACTATTTTCATGGCCACAATAACATCGTGGGGTTTTTTTTTTTTTTGGTGCTTTGTGAAGACAGCTCTTTCTCCTCCCTCCCTGATCTTTCTTGTTCTCACTTGCATAAAACTTTATCACTTCCTGAGTTTCCATTTCTTAAGGCGCCTTTTCCTCCCTTCTTCCTACCCCCATCTGTTGCTCAGTAAACCCAAGTCATATACTCAGCTTCTCACATACTGAAAGACTAGGGAACCTCAGTCTTCAATTGCCAAAAGGCAAGTTAGCTGTGGAATTTGACACATTAGGTTTTCAGCACGTGGTTTTTGGGCTTACATTCACTTTTCTTAGAAATATGATAGTTAGTAATTAATGTAGAGGGAATAGGTGTTCTATTTCCCACTATGCCTTGATGGTTACATTGCAGAGGTGTATAAGGAAGAAGATGGTTCAGAAAACCCAAAGTGGGATGAATTGGGAGACTAGGATTGACAGGTATGCATGATCGATACTATGCATAAGATAGATAACTAATGAGAACCTGTAAGTTAGTCCCCTAACCTATAGCTCAGGGAACTCTACGCAGTGCTCTGTGGTGACCTAAACGGGAAGAAAATCCAGAACAGAGGGACTGTCAGTATATGGATAGTTGTTTCACTTTGCTGTGTGATAGAAACTAACAACACATTGTAAAGCAACTATGCTGCTGCTGTTTCATCGCTTCAGGCGTGTCTGACTCTTTGTGACCCCATGGACTGTAGCCCGCCAGACTCCACTGTCCGTGGGATTCTTCAGGCAAGAATACTGGAGTGGGTTGCCGTACCCTCCTCCAGGGGATCTTCTTGACCCAGGGATCGAACCCACATCTCATGTCTCTTAAACCGGCAGGTGGGTTCTTAGCCACTAGCGCCACTTGGGAAGCACAAAGCAGCTGTTACTTCAATAATTTTTTTTTTAAAGACC